AGAGAGAGAGAGAAGAAGAAGAGAGAGAGAGAGAGAGAGAGAGAGAGGTTGACCACGAAGGAAGAGGGATTTCGTTACGGGTTACCACGTTGTTTGCACTGGCACGCAATCAACGGAACTCACACGAAGCCCGTTACGGGCCCACGTTTCCAAGGGGAGGAACTCGATCCGCGGGCCCATTTTTCGTCGAAATTCGGGGGTAAAAAATCCCTTTTTCAATCCGAGTTTCCTCTAATTATCGCATATTTCTCGTCTTTTTTTCCCCACTCCCTTCGTTTCTTTGTAATACGAGTAAATCAAAAGATATATCCAATTTCGATCAAGATTAAAGCATGGACAAACAAGATTCTTAATATCGAGTGCAACAAAACTCCTTCGACTAATCCTCCAAATAAAGATTCCAATTACGCCGACTCCCCTCAACGAAACGACTCCATCATCGCGACGACCCATTCGCCGGGAATTGTTTCGCTTCGACGACAGATTAAGACCCATCCCAAGCCCCATATATATATATATATATATATTATTAATTCAGCGAACAACGGATAACCGAAAAGAGAGAGAGAGAGAGAGAGAGAGGAAGAGATAAAAATGGCAGAATCGAGAGGAGGCTACTTTCACCAGTGGCTGTCACGAATTATGACGTCTCGGCCGGTGTCACCTTCGCGGCGAGTTGGAGCGGCCGCAAAGATGGCCGTGTAATTCAACACCGGGGACGGAGAACGACCCCGATTTGCGGTGGTCCCTCGTCGCGAGCGTATTCGGCAACACGGCGTAAATATTTATAAGGGAGAGACGGAGAGGAGAGTTGTCCACGGTTGGATAAAAGCGAAGGACGCGTTTTGGCCGCCTTCCTCGCTCTGACTCACGCCGGGAGGAGGGTCACCCCCTCTGGACGAATTGCAAGAAAGGATCGAAATGAGCTTATCTCGCGGGGAGAATAAATTGGCCCCGGTTCGTCGAAATTGGTCGTTCCTTTTCCCTTTGAGGGAGTTTGGACGACGAAAAACCGCGGCGGGGGAGGTGGGGGACGAATTTTCGATGGAATACACGGAGTTGTCGCGAATAAAATCGCAATTAAACGAAATAGGGATTGGGAACGTTCTCGTTTGGTGTTTTGCGGCCCGGTGTAATTGAGGTTTCGAACGTAACGTCGAGCGATGGTTTTCGGGGTAAGAAACGTGTTGAAGATGGATGGTGACGACGCGAGACAATTTACTGCCAACGAATCGAGCAATTCTGATTTCCGTTGAAATTTATTATTGCGGCGGATAGATTGTTGTAGCCTCGAAAAATATTTTTGCCTATTCTCGATGTTACTTTTCGTAACACGAATGCATGGGATGATCGTTCATCTCAGAATTATTGAAATATTATGAAACACCAAGAATACATCTAACTTTACTTTCTTCCATTTTTCGTCATCTTGTATTATATTCAACGATCGAAGAGACCCTATTTTTATATTATATTATACGTAAAAATACGTAAAAATCTCTGTTAGAAGGTCGTTCTTTAGAAATTTCAAACAATTAAAAAAATATAGAGGATAGCTTTCAAAGTATACAGATCTGTAAATCTATATTTTCCAGTCAACTAGTAGAAATCAATTTTCTTTCTCGAATTGTTATTCACCAAAAAAAAAAACGAAAACTCTTTGTATTTTCGAAACATTCACGAATAAGAAACGGATGAAGCAAGAAAGAAGAGATTCGCTCGCGAATCCTAACGTGTTTGACGCGATCGACCGATAATTGTGCCCATCGGCCGTTAATAAACCGATCCCAGGGGATTTCGTGTCAGGGAGCAACGAGAGCTGTCGCTTTTATCGGAGTGGAGGATCTCTGGGTTGGCTGGAGGGGAGGCGGTGCTCGTTGGAGAAGGGGTGGAGAGGAAAATGGACGGATTTAATGGATCGAGGGGGAGAAGCCGCGAAGGGGAGGAGAAATATTTCGGTATTAAAGACTT